GAGAGAGAGTGATTTTTTTTTGACAAACCTTGGGGATCTTACATACAGCTTTATAAGCAGGCACACGCCAGACATAGTAATTGCAATGGAAACTATCCCAAATGAGGAAATACTATAAAATTTTGGCAGACTATCGGCATGCCGGGACAGGATAGGCCGGCTAGGTGGAGGAATTGCTGTCTGTTTTGAGAAATTTATACAGATACAGGAGTTGAAAATTTCCCACATCCCGGAACCTGCAACAACATCGTGCAGCTTGCAAAAACAAATCTGGGCTTAAAAAAATGGGAAGATATGGGGAAGACGTTGCAGCATGGGAACATTAGATCAAAAGTATGGTGGTCCCATATAAAGGACGCACAAGAAATCACAGCCAATAGTCCAGTACCTCCACTTAAAGGACATGATGGCTACCTTGCAGTTAAAACCAAGGATAAGGTTAATCTATTGGCAGAACATTTTGCCAATAAGATGCAAGTGCGTAAACCCAGGCGCAATCCACCAGCTATTTTAAAGAGGTCTAACCACAAAATAGAACAAAATATAATAGATAAGAACATGGTGTTTAGTCTTCTAAAAAATTATGATCCCAAAAAGACTACATGTCATGACCACATCAGTATACACATTCTTAAAAGGCCAACACAGGCTGTACCTGTACATAGAAAGAAGAGTCGAAGCCATGTAGGTAATTGCCGACCAGTGTCACACCTCTCTATCATTGGTAAAATCGTGGAAGCACTCATTGCTGACCAAATGATGGACTTCCTTAACTTCCTTAAACGAGAGACAATTCGGATTTAGGAAATGACGTTCAGCTACTGATCTTCTCTTAACACTATCTTCTACACAGAACCATGCATTAGATGGTCAACTTTCCACCTGTGTCATAGCACTTGAAACTGCAGGAGCATTTGATCGTGCATGGCACCAAGAACTGCTGGAGAAACCGGAGGCCAATGGCACTGGGGACAAATTCCACAGCCTCCTCAGTAACTACCTTACTGGGCGATATCTCCACGTGGTTCTAAATGGCACATCCTCTCGAGAATGCCCTATAGGTGTTGGTGTTTCTCAAGGATGTGACCTGGGCCATTGCTCTGGAACATACATTTCACTGACCTCCTAAACCTCACCCCAGAAGCAAGGGCATATTCTAACGACTACACTCTCTATGTAATTTTTTACCAGGAAGAAAGGGTAGAAATTCAGCATTTTGCCCAGCAACGAATGGCAGACACTGCCTTGTGGGGTCAAAGATGGCAAGTTGCATTTGCTCCTGAAAAGATCCAGATGATAATCATATTTAAACTTCGAGAAAAACACAATCTTAAGCTCGCCATTAATGGTGAAACATAATTAGAAAAATCGATCATTGAGGGTTTAGGTATAAAATTTGATGAGATGAACTTCAAGGCACATGTGAAGGATCTGGCCTAGAAAGGGACTGCGAAACTGGCTGTCCTAAGGGTTGCAAGATCCTTTACGAAGCACAAGGGAAACCCGCCCTCGAGTATGCTCCGCTAACATGGGCCTCATGCCCTGACTTATACCTCACCTCCTCGACAAGGTCGACGAGCGAACGAGAAGCATCATCAACAGACTTGGTGGTGAAGCGGGATTCGTAGGTACAGCTCACAGTCTTCAACTCCGCCGGCACGTGGCGGGGTCACAGCACTGTACAAGGCTACATATCTGGACACTCCCTGACTCTCGGCTCTTCGAGGAATTCCGATGCGACGAACCTACACAAGGGCGCTCCAGGAGAATATAGTTTCTTTGTACCTCGGTCCAAGCCTCCCTCCATCAGGTGTTTCATACCTCGAGTGACAAGGATTTGAAATTTTTTATTACGTCTCTTGACATACTGGAAGATCACCAGATTGCTTTTATGCAATAATGTAGATAAGTGTACTAGATAAACTTATTTTCACTCAAGTAATATAACTTGTAAACCTCGTAAGGGGCTTTTTTATATATACTTTTTTAGGTTAGCTTTAAGATAGATAGACCAGAAATGTGATGTCTTCAACTAAATGAGGATACAAGGATGTTAGAGAGTAAACCCCTTCTATACGACTTGTATTATGTTAAACATGCTTAAAGAGAGAGAGAGAGAGAGAGAGAGAGAGAGAGAGAGAGAGAGAGAGAGAGAGAGAGAGAGAGAGAGAGAGAGAGAGAGAGATTATCAAAAGGAGGAAAGGGGAGGGCGAGAGCGAAGGAGAAGAAGAGGGAGAGAAGGAGAGGAAGAAGAAAGAGAGAAAAAAATATCAGTACATTAGTAACCAAGTCATACTTTTCAGACACAAAGAACAAATCTGGGAAGGCGCAGAAGTGCGACGACTGCGTGCTATTCCTGCAGCTGGGGGCGACCTTCGCTTTCTTCACCATCAGTTTCATCGTGGCCTTCTGCGTGCACGGCCGCCGCAGAAACCCTTGCAATGACCACCACCTCTCGCAGGATCGCTACGTCCCGCCAGATATTGACAAATCGCTATAA